AAACAGACAAAGCAGCTCTTAATCCGCCTTACTTTGCGAATCACAGACTCTCTCTCTCTCTCTCACCAGTATCAAAAGTAATGAAAACTCAAAATAGAAAAGACTGAAAATCAAAAGCAAAGGTTACAAAAAACACAGCTAATTAATACTTATATTATCCATCTCAACTGGGCCACTGCACATAAAAAAAATAAATAAAAAAATCCTTCCAAATAATTCAATCCACACCACAATCAAGAACCCCTTCAAAAATCCCAAAACATAAAAATTACAGCACATAACCAAGAAAAGAATTTTTGCAGGCTTTGCAGCTACCCCACATCCCTTATAAAGATTCAATCTTTTTTTTTTTCCTGCCATTAAAGGATAAGTAGGCAACCACTTCCAACTTTTTTTCACTCTCTACACTGTTCACAAGCTCCTCTCAACGGTTACTTTCCTCTTTAAATGCTCCCCTAACGGCAGCCAACCCCTGTTCCCAACCCCCTATTTGGATATTTTTCTCCAAAACCCCTTTTTTGAGTTTTTTCAGCTCCAAATCTGTAATAAACACAGTGTATGCGTTAACAGAGTGAAAGAGGGCCATGGATTTCAGCTCGTTCTTGACGTCCCTAGGGACGTCGTTCGTGATTTTCCTGGTTTTGATGTTCGTTTTCACCTGGCTGTCGAGGCGACCCGGCAACCACGTCGTGTACTACCCGAACCGGATCTTGAAAGGCATGGATCCGTACGAGGGCCTGCGCCTGAGCAGGAACCCGTTCGCTTGGATCCGGGAAGCCGTCGTCTCCACCGAGGCTGACGTCATCAGGATGTCCGGCGTTGATACCGCCGTCTACTTCGTTTTCCTCACCACCGGTAAAATTTTCTCCCCTTTATGTTTTTTTTTTCCAGTGTTTTTTAAAGGGTAAGTGTGTGTGTGTGTGTGTGTGTGTTTTGGACTAGGTTATTGTATTGGTTTACATTTTGTTTTCTTTTCAATGGCTTTATTGATTATCTCATTTTGGACTTGTGAGATGAATGGTTAATGTTTCAGCATAATCAATTAGTTAACAGTTCTGGATGGAATACTTTAATGATACACCATGACAGTGTTTTTTGATTGAATGGGCTACTGATTTTTCTGATTTTGGATTATACTTTTCTTAGTGGATATGGAAAAACGCTTCATTCCCTTTTTGTCCAGTGAATTAATTACATAAATCACTCTGTGTGTTGTGAGAAAAACTTCGCTAGCTATGATAGACTAGTAATAATAGGAAGTATTTGTTTACTTTCCTAATGATATGTGTACATGTAAGCATATGATAATTCACCCGAAACATCAAGTGAGCATTTTTCAAAAGAAGCTTTAATTGTCTGTGTCATTTGTATCTTGTTTATACCTCAAGCTATGTTTTTTTATTCTGTCATGTTGAGATGAATCTGTAGCATTTTCGTATCGTGATTGCCTTTTCATGTCTTTTCCGCACTAATCGACTACACTAGAAATCCCATTTAGCTGAAAGAACTTCCTTTTTTCCTTTTCCGCCTTTTTCTTTTCATGCAGTATTGGGAATACTGGTTTTGTCTGGCTTTGTCCTTTTGCCTGTTCTTCTGCCTGTGGCTGTTACTGCTAAAGGCCCGACAAAAACCAACGACACCACCAGCGAAAACTCGTTTGACGAGCTCGACAAGCTATCCATGGGGAACATTGAGGTTACTCACTCCTCCACGAATTTCATTCAAATCGCTAATTTCTGATCTGCCATGATCTCTGGCTATTTTCGCTGAATTCTTTTCTATGTGTTCTATTCATTTTATTTATTTATTTATTTATTTATTTATTTTTGTGGCTGATAGGAAAGAAGTCCTCGATTATGGGCGTTTGTGATAGCCACTTATTGGGTTAGTTTCGTCACTTATTGCCTCTTGTGGAAAGCTTATAAGCATGTGGCCGAGCTCAGAAGTTCAGCTCTTATGTCGCCTGAAGTGAAGAGCGAGCAATTTGCTGTTCTCGTTCGGGACATTCCGCCTGTTCCTGCAGGCCAGACTAGAAAAGATCAAGTTGACTCGTATTTTAGAGCCATCTATCCAGATACGTTTTACAGGTCATTAGTGGTCACAGACAATAAGAAGGTACTCTTATTAAATTATACAACAATATATGTTTAATTTTGTAACTTTTATCCTTACCCGAAATGTATTATTTTTATATGAGTTCTTACATTTCAAAGTGTGATTACTCCTCTGCATTTACATTGTTTTTCTTTTTCTTTTTTGTTTTGTTTTTTATCGATCAGTGTCTTGTTATGGTTAGCAGCATTGTGTTCTGATGGGGTTTCCACACCCCAAAAAGTTCACTATTTGAATTAAAATTCGTAATTCGAAAACACTATCTTGATTTTGCTCGGTTTGCTCCTATGCGTTTACTTGCATTTTTTCTGCTTCCGGTAATATTCTTGCTCCTTACGCGAAATGTGTGGAATTTCGAACTTTTATCCTTACCCGGAATGTAATAGTTTTATACCAGTTCTTACATTTCAAAGTGATTACGCCTCTGCATTTGCATTTTTTGTCTTTATTTTCTTTTTGTTTTGTTTTTATCGATCAGTGTCTTGTTATGGCTAGCAGCATTGTTGTTCTGATGGCCCCCAAAAAGTTCACTATTTGCATGAAAATTCGTAATTCGAAAGCTCTACCTCGATTTTACTCAGTTTATTTACTCTTATGCTTTTACTTGCCTTTTTTTCTGCTTTCGGTAAAACATTCTTGCTCCTTTCTCATTAAAAACCCATTTTTCTCTCGCATTACACCAGGTCAACAAAATTTACGAGAAGCTCGAAGGATATCGAAAAAAGCTCGCTCGAGCAGAAGCCATATACGCCGAATCCAAAACAACATCCAACCCTGAGGGAACAAAACCGACAACAAAAACGGGCTTCTTGGGCCTCGTCGGCCCAAAAGTCGACGCCATAGAATATTACGACGAGCAAATAAAGGACCTAATCACCAAGCTAGAAGCCGAGCAGAAAATCGCTCTAAAGGACAAGCAGCAATGCTCGGCTATCATATTCTTCAACAACCGAGTCACGGCCTCAGCCGCCTCACAGAGCCTACACGACATGATAGTCGACAAATGGACAGTCTTGGATGCTCCCGAGCCCCGCCAGCTCATATGGACAAATCTCCCGAAAAAATTCTACGAGAGGCAGTTTAGGCAGTACTTGATCTACTTCATCGTGTTCTTGACCATTTTCTTTTACTTGATACCTATTGGGTTCATCTCTGCACTAACCACATTGGATAACCTGAAAAAGCTGCTGCCTTTTTTGAAGCCGATTGTTGATCAGCCCGCGATTAGAACCGTGCTCCAAGCATACTTGCCCCAGCTGGCGCTTATCGTGTTCTTGGCACTTTTGCCGAAGTTTTTGCTGTTTTTGTCTAAGGCAGAGGGGATTCCATCGGAGAGCCATGCGCAGAGGGCCGCGTCTGGGAAGTATTTTTATTTCTCGGTTTTGAATGTGTTTATTGGGGTGACGGTGGGGTCCACGCTCTTCACGACTTTGAAGAAGATCGAGAAGAATCCGAACTCGGCAGTAACGCTGTTGGCCGAGAGTCTTCCCGGGAGCGCGACATTCTTCTTGACTTTTGTCGCTTTGAAGTAAGATATTCATTTCAAGACTCTCGTTTTTCTCTTCTTCTTTTTTTTTTTTTTTTTTTTTTTTTTTCATTCTCCATTGGCATTTCGTGTATTTCTCTTGACTTAATAGGCCTTCTCAGAATGTCTCGGTTTAACTAACTTATTTATTCAACTCCACAGTATTGGGGAATTAATTACTTCTATTGCGAAAAAGATTCGAAACATATGTGAAATTTGAGTAAAGTTTGATTTTTACTTGAAGACTGTAAAAATCAAGAATTGCCTTTTCAGGTTCTTCGTGGGGTATGGGCTCGAGCTATCAAGAATTGTACCCTTGATAATATATCACCTGAAAAAGAAGTATCTTTGCAAGACTGAGGCCGAGCGAAAAGAGGCTTGGGCTCCTGGTGATCTCGGCTACGCGACTCGAATTCCGAACGACTTATTGATAGTCACAATCGTCCTCTGCTATTCTGTCATTGCACCTCTCATTATCCCGTTTGGCGTGTTGTACTTTGGGCTTGGATGGCTTGTTCTAAGGAATCAGGTGAGTTAGAAGAGAAAATATTTTTTTACCAATTGTTATTATTTATTGTTTCCTCAATTTTCCAGTTCTGTATGTGAAAAACATGTTTGGTTTGAAGTTTGAGCTGTGTTTGGCTTTTTGTAACAATTGCATGTGATTGTTAAATTTGGTACTTTTTGCGAATAGGAGCCGAAAAGCAACGATTTTAAAGAGATTGTTTTGCATATAATTTACAATAGTGCTTGATTTGTACTTTAGATTGTGTTTGGTAAGCATATAAGCTAGCTTATAACTTATTTGATTAGTTTATAAGCTTCATGTATTCAAATAAGCTTGGTTTGGTAGGATTAGATTTTTTAAAAAGTTCGAGCTTATCTCATAAGCTTTACTTGGGTAGCATTTCAAATAAGCCATTGGAATTCTTATTTCAGCTATAAGCTAATTTTATCAAACACTTATCATATGAGCTAGCTTTTCAGCCATAAGTCATAAGTTATCAGCTTGAATTTCACTTGAAAGCTATAATAAGCTAGCTTATTAGCTAGGTTTACCAAACACGGTCTTAAAAATTGAATTATAGAAATTTAAACCTGAATTTAAAAAAAAATAAAAAAAAATTGTTTGCTAACTAGTTTATCATCTCTTTCCCCCGAAACAAACAGGCCCTAAAAGTGTACGTCCCTTCATACGAGAGCTACGGGAAGATGTGGCCCCACATTTTCATCCGAATAATTGCATCATTGATTCTCTTCCAGCTGACAATGTTCGGTTACTTCCTGGCCAAGATATTCTTCTACGCCCCACTCGTGATCCCGCTTATTGTGTTGTCCTTCATATTTTGCTACGTTTGCCAAAAGAAATTTTATCGGTTTTTCCAGTCTACTGCACTCGAGGTTTCTGCGCATCAACTCAAAGAGACTCCAAACATGGAAGTTATTTTCAGGTCATTTGTGCCCCCGAGCTTGAGTTCCGATAAAGGAGACGAGGATCAGTTTGAAGATGCTCTGTCTCAAATGTCGAGAGCTGGTTCAATTGTTTGATATGTAATGTGTGAATTGTCTATATTACCCTTCTTTTGTTAATTAGCCTGCAATGTGTGTTGTGTTTTAGCTTTAGGGAATTTTAGGGATTTGTCTTTGTTTCTCCTTCAGAATGTGTGTTGTGTGAGGAGGAATTTGTAAGGTAAAAGTTTGTTTGTTTGATTTGCTAGGTTTTGGTGTGTGAGATTTGTGATTTTGTTTGTGGTTGTTAGAATTTACAGAACTCAGACACTGTTTTTGTCTGAATTATTATTAGAATCTGAGTCTTGAGAATGTACTTTTGGTTACTGTTTGACTCACATGTGTTGTTGACTTAGTTTTGTTTGTTTGTTTTCACTGTGTATTGTGAAGAGATGCTTGGAGAATATCAGATGATTTGCGGCTTTAGGGGAAATTCTATCCTGCCTCGTGGATGATGTTTTAGCCGTCGGATTAAGATATGTGAGTGAGTGAGTGTGTGTGATCTGATGGCTAAAATCTTAAAGGTTTCATGTAGGATCAAATTTACCCGGCTTGAGCTTCTTAAAGGTCAATTTGTATGATTTTGCAAAACGTTTATCACGTTTAGGTTGTATAAGTTAAGTACAGTTCAAAAGAAACTTCTGGAGAACACCAAATTCCGGCTACCTAATTGAAGCTATTGGACTGTGGACCAATGAATAGCTTGAAGAAACCTATGGGAATTATTATGACTTTTGACTTGTAGCTATTTATCAACAGTTGCACAATTATATATTTCCGACAAATATGCACATTCTTATACAATAGTATCATAATTGGAAAAAAACAACTTAAACAAAATTATAGTAATAATTATTTAAAAAAAAAAAAAAAAAAATTAAAAAAAAAAAAAAAAAAAGTGCTGACAAGTCTAGGTCCGCTAGTCAACTTAATGCCAATTTGAAAGATGACCAGCACATGGCACTGTACAAATGAATTTGCTACTGTACGTCTGAATGCCTCACCGGCCACTGTTTTCACCTGCCAGTATGCTGTGTTAATGACACAATAAATAAAGAAGAAAAATCAAAACAGATGATACGAATCATATAGCAGTCAAAAAGTATGATCAATGACTTCTTCATATACAAGATTTCAATGAAGAAAATAGAAAAATCACACAACCATAAAACCAACGCGTGAACTAATAAATCTTCTGGTCAAATTAAACCCATCACCAATTCACCACCCAAATTTTCAAATCTCTTTCTTCTAATTTTCCCACATTCCATTCCCGAATCAATCAAGAGCTCTCAACAACTCTCTCTCTCTCTCCTAAATGATCGCCAACGTGAAAAATGCACCACTTCACCTCCACCTCCACCACGTCACCGCCACCTCCGGCCACCACCACTCCACAATCCGGCAAAATCCGCACCGAAAGCCCCCGAACAAAGCCACCAAGCTAGCCGAATCCCTCTCCCAAATTGTGAACCTCCGCATCGAAACCGCAATCCAAAAAACCCTCCACCGCTCGAGCCTCCCGAACCTCCCGAGCCTCGACGACAAATACGACACCCCCACATCCTCCCCCCGAGAAGACATATCCGCCACGTGGCGCGAGCTCCACGGCTCGCGTGACTGGGACGGCCTACTCGACCCCCTCGACCCGAGCCTCCGTCGAGAGATCGTCAAATACGGCGAGCTGGCGCAGGCGACCTACGACGCGCTCGACTCCGAACCGAGCTCCGAGTACTGCGGCAGCTGCCAATACAGCCGCCGCAGACTCTTGTCCCAGTTAGGCCTCGACCACTCGGGTTACCACGTCACCAAGTACATCTACGCCACGTCATCGCTCGTCGGGTGGCTCGAGCGGACGCCGCGGCCCGCTGACGGCGACTCCAACTGGATGGGGTTCGTCGCCGTCAGCGGCGACGAGGAGTCAAGGAGGATCGGTCGACGCGACGTGGCGGTCGCATGGCGCGGCACGGTGGCACCGTCGGAGTGGTACGACAACATGCAGAGCCGATTGGAGCCGGTCGGGCGGGGGGACGCCATGGTCGAGCGCGGCTTCCTTAGCATCTACTCGTCAAAGAGCCGCACGTCGAGGTACAAAACCTAGGGTAGTAAACAAATCGAATCGAAACGAATTGAAGTGAATATTTGACTATAGGATTCGAATTCGTGAAAATATTAGATTATTCTTATTTGTATTCGATTCGTTATAGAATTTAATTTGTGATTTATATTCGATTCAATATAAGATAATCGAATATATTCGATCCGATTCGATTCATAATTAGGATTGTAAACGAATCGGAGCGAAGCAAATATTCAATTATCGGATTTGAATTTATGAAAATATTTGATTATTTGTGCTTATTCAATTATCGGATTTGAATTTATGAAAATATTTGATTATTTGTGCTCATATCGTATTCGATTCCTTATTGAATTTAATTTGTGATTTATATTTGATTCCATTAAGATAATCAAATATATTCAATTCTATTTGAAATTCAATTTTATAAATAATTTAGAAATACATAAACATATTTATATTTTATATTTATACATTAAATATAAAAACATATTTGCATTTTTAAATATACATTGAATATAATGTATATTTTCAAATATAAATAGAGAGTAATATACTTTTAAAATATATTTTGTGTTATATATTTATATCTATACATACTATATACATAAATTCTTATATTCTATACAATATACTAAATTTTATTTAGTTAATATTAACGAATCGAACATGTGAATATTCAGATTCGAACTCGTATAAAATTTCAAATACTGAAAATTATTCTTACTCAAATTCGAATCACGAATCAAATCGAGAAAGCCGTGATTTATTGTTTTACGAATACATCCCTTACCCTTAGGTACAACCGGTCGAGCGCGTCGGAGCAGGCCATGGTCGAGATCCAGCGTCTCGTCAACCACTACCGTGCCCTCAGCGAGGAGGTCAGCCTAACCGTCACGGGCCACAGCCTCGGCGCCGCGCTGGCCCAGCTCAACGCCTACGAGGCGGCCAACAACTTCCCGGGCCTCCCCGTGAGCGTGATCTCGTTCGCGGCCCCGCGCGTGGGGAACATCGCTTTCCGAGACGAGCTGTACCAGACAGGCGTCAAAACCCTACGCCTAACGGTCAGGCAAGACGTGGTCCCGAGGATGCCCGGGATCGTGTTCAACGAGGGCCTCCAAAGGTTCGACGAGCTAACGGGAACGCTCGAGTGGGTGTACACGCATGCGGGAGTCGAGCTCAGGCTCGACGCGCGGGCCAGCCCGTATTTGAAGAAAGGGTTGAACCCAATCGGGTTCCATATGCTAGAGACTTACTTGCACCTAGTGGACGGGTTTAGCGGGTCCGGGTCGGGTTTCCGGGTCGAGGCGAAGAGGGATGTGGCGCTCGTGAATAAGGATTGTGACATGTTGGTGGATGAGCTTAGGGTGCCGGTGAATTGGTACCAACCGGAGAATAAGGGCCTCCGGCGGAACAGATATGGGCGGTGGGTCAAACCAGAAAGAGAACCGGAGGATGAGCCCGAACCCCAACCCGGTTGGGAGGAAGATGGGTCAATGTACCAAGTTTATTAAGTGAAGAAGAAATGAAAATATAAGTTGTGTAGCTTGGAAATAAAATTAATAAATAAATTGAATGTTCACTCATATATAGTCTCTACTTACAATATGCTTCGTTTGTCATAAATTCTGGTGTTAGGGCTGATGGATGGATAGAAATGTCCACTCAAATATAGTCTCTACATGCTTAGTATATGTGCAATATTTTTTGTTTTAGTTTAGTGCATAGAGTAATTTTCTCAATAATATATGTTTTTACAATGAAATGATATGCTTTTATGTTAAAGGGTATTATCATTTGAACATAAAACTATGCAAATTTATTGAAAAACTAAAATAGTCTTACCATCAGACAATCTAACAGATTTATTGTCATAAGTTAACTTGTGAATTCTTTATGTGGAAGAAATGTAGTTTTAGTACAATAATTTGCTGCGATTTATTGGTGATGCCATTCATAAGTTAATTGTGGATTCTATAAAATATATGTAGTTTCTGTACAATATTTTGCTGCGATTTATTGGTGATGCCTTTTACAAATCCTCATTGCAAGGAAAAGATCCCCATGGAGCTAAGAGAAGGTATGAGGTGATTAAGTACGGATATGTAGCAAAAATGGTCATAATAAAAGATCGTGCAAATAGAGCGAGCAAGTATATATTAAGTTCAATCTTGTTAAACTCTCTTTAATTTTTTTTTATAATCCTTAGCTTCTCTTGATAGGTGCTAACTGCTAACTGTGGGAGTTCGAACTTCTCAAATCTCACTAGCAGACATTATTTGTGGCAACAAGAAAGACAAAATGGGCATTCTTAGATTATGTTTGGTAGATAAATAAGCTAGTTTATAGCTTATTTGATTAACTTATAAGTTTCCTATATTTAAATAAGTTTCGTTTGGTAGGACGGGCTTATTTAAAAAGATCGAGCTTATCTCATAAGCTTCTTTGGGTAGCTTTTCAAATAAACTCGTTGAAATTTTAATTTCAGCTAGCTTATTAGCTAATTTTACCAAACACTTTTATCATATAAGCTAGCTTTTCAGCTATAAGCTCTAAAATTATTAATAAGCTATAAGCTTACAGCTATCAGCAAGCTTATCAGCTAGTTTTAACAAACATAACCTTAGATGCAAAGTTTAAGATGAACCAAAATTGGGAACTCTGATACATTGACCTGTTTTAGATCAGCTCTCATTTGCATTTTAAGGATACTTTGAATGATGTTGATTATCTATTGACACTAGTTTATTATATTGTTTATTGTGCTGCTAATATTCTAAGCTTAGTCAATTGTATTTCTAATTTGGAAGGCTCTATAGCACTCTATATGTTATCCTGTGGCGACCTCCACAAAAATTCAGTACTACCTCTTTTAGCTGAAAATGAACTATTGGGGGATGGATTAATTACTCATAATATTGGAGGTGGATTAATTCACATTTATTTTAATTACTCACCACTTACAATCATTTATCTCCCACTTTTACATTAGTTCAACTTTAATCAATATATTTTAAATTTTATTTAAATATAAATTCAAACTCGTACTCAAACCAAACTCAGTCAACCTTTTTTNTATCCAATAAATCCAATCAAAATCCAAAATAACTCATACCCAATCAGCCATAAACTCCCAACTTAAAACAAATAGGCACTCACCTAAATGAGCCACTCTTCCCGGGGGCCATGACAAAGAGCGCTGAAAGCTCTAAGCTGAAAACCAGGCGGTATTTCTCGAAGACGACAAGGGTAGTTTGGGACATCATCGTTATGGAAGACGATCAGGCTGGAGGCATCATTGTCTGGATTCTCGTGCGGGATAAACATGCTGGCTAACAAGCAAGCGTGGTCACTGTAGTTGACCGGAGAAAATATGCAACGAAGATCAAAATGACCATAAACATGCTCGTGCCTGAATGTCCACCAAGCAGACCCAACCTCCGATTTGGTATCGACCGATTTCAGCTTGATTCCGAGCGTTCTAAGGCAAGGCATCACATTTTCATAGTCATAGTTGTGCCAAATCTCGCTCGATCGGCCTTCATTCTCGGTTCCTTCAGGGTAAACAGGAACGCAAAAGATATTTTTAGTCAAACCACTCGGAGTGAACACGCCGAGTTGGGAGATGGCATCGGCAAAGGGTAGAGGAAGCTCGAGATCCTCGGTGTATGACGGAGGAGTCGCAAAACGAGTCGAATGTGTTTGAAAAGACTTGTGAATGTTATGCAGTTTCAAGTAAACGGCAGTCATGCAAGCATTCACGATGATCGGAGTTATCGCGTTGACTTTATTGGTCACCTCGTCAAAGGACAAGATTTCTTCTTGCTCGTTGAGTTTAATCGAGAGATAATTCTCGAGAATGTAAGAAAACCTGGACCGAAGCTGATCGACACGGAGTGTGTAGTAACGAGCCGTGGAACGGGAAGCAGCTGGAAGGCGTTGAAATCCGAGAATGTTGCTCGCTTTGAGCTTTCTAACGTAGTCCGGATTGATCGTCAATGATAGAGGTTTGACTGAGTGATCAGCATCTCGAATCGCGGTCTCTTCCTGAGATCCTGAGGTCTCGAGGGCAGCAGTCTTTTCGAATCGGGCTTTCTTGAGAGTGTGTTCGGGGGCCTTGGTTGCCATGTCGGGTGCGGGGTAAAGGAAATGAACAAGTGTGTTTATCTAGAATTAATTACCTGCAAAACGAACATATACAGTTTTGGTTAGTAGATGTCATAGTGTCATCAACGCATGATAATAAAGCACATAAGTCCTAGACACACAACTAGTGGATAATTATCTCTCTTAACAGTTTTTATACCCAAGTCATTAATCCTACTATACCATCACAATAAATGTATATAGGCCCATTATAATATGATTCTAGCTTGTAAATCAAAGTCTAATAAAACTTTTCAATCAGTCTCTCAAGTCCCACTCCACTTGACATATGGAAAATATAATCTCCCCCAATCGTTGTCCATCAACTTTATTGTACGTACGACGATAAATGTAACATGTGGGGTACAAGCTGCTAGAAAGTGGGGTACAAGATTGGCAGCATGGGTCGAAAATGGAGCACCATGTCTTGCAAGATTGAAATGCCTGGGATAACAATAATAAGCCAACACCAGGTTTGTAGTTGGGTTGCTCCTTAACATTTGCAATACCATTCATACTTCTATTGTAATATGAATATGACACAGATATTTTAATAACCTAGAGGTCCNAAAAAAAAAAAAATCAACTGTTTGCTTAGAAAACAATCCTGATCGTGTTGACATCATGCTCTTGCTTTAAAATCAACTGTTTGCTTAGGTAATCATCATCTGACCATTTCAAAATCAGAAGTTCATCCTCTACACTGCAATATTTCTTTATCACTGGTTTAAACCTCACGTGAAAACTTGCCACAGTGAGGCTCCGAAAAGCAGTGAATGAACAAACACCAGATTAATAAATAGATAAATGAGAAAATTGTCAGTATGCTGCAAACCACCTCAGATACGTGACAAAGAGAAAAAGAGTAAAAATAAAATGAAGAAACTAACTGTGGATTACTGATGTGAGAAGTACAAAATGTAAGTGATGGCACAATCCACAGTTCATATGACTTTGGAACTACATAAAATCACTCATTGAAAGAGTTTTCTCAAAAGAATGACAGCAACTTTACCAGAATGAAAATGAATTTTCAATTCAGTAAGAATCCAACAAACTAGTGCCAAGGGCCAAGTGAAACTGGGCGACATAAACCTCATAATCACACCAAAGAAAGCTAAGAAAATCCCTTAACTATGACATTTTATCATGTGTAACGAGGAAAACAAAGACACTCGTGCTTTCCACGGATCAAGCAAACTATAAATCTGATCCAAAGAACCTATGCAGGCTACGGAAAATTCCTTCCTACCCGTGTGGGCACTCTACCTACACGGGTAGGATCGAACTTATCGAATCCTACAGGAAAATAAGACTCAAGTCCGAATTCCGAAAAGCAACGAAAAAATGAAACTCGAAATCCAAACTAAAGACATAGCTAGCTGCACAATGCATCCTAATAGTAGGATGGAATATTACATAGCAAAGTACCAAATGCAAGTCTACATACTAAGAAAATGGTGAAATTGAAATGACAAGCAAAAGACGTGGGTGAACCAGTTACCGTCGCAGAAGAACAATCAAATATCTCCCATCTGTAAGAAGATCCAAAGCCTAATAGACCTGCACAAATGAATGACAAACAGGTATGTAGCATTTCCACCAGAAATGGGAAGCTATTATGTGATGATATTCAAAAACTTACAGTTGTAACCAGTGAGAAGAAGCTTATCGGGCTGCCTATCTTGTGTCCCCCAAATGGATTCGAGATGTTACGGCGGACGATAATCTCTAACCCTATGAGCGGTAAGGTTCTATATGTGTGGCAACGAAACTCCGACCAAAAAAATGAGTGTAGAAAATTAATAGGGGACGCGACGCGACGCGACGGCTGGGCGATAAAGGACCTCACCGTCTCCGCCGAACGGAGCTTTTTCAGTCACGACTCAGACACAGTGACAGCGTACAGTCTAAAACAGTTTTCTGACTAATTGAGAGCTGAATTGAGAAACGGGGTTGCAACCCGTTTTTTCGCGCCGTGTGTCCTATTTTGGCACTTCTGCGCAACACGCTTCTTTGGCCCGTTTCATGAACGGATACAAAATATCTTATGGCATATACTTTTTTTTAACTCAAAATTCAATTCAAATATAATCATATTCAACCTTTTTTATATATTATTAGTATAATTAAATAATTTATTAATATATAAAAAGACAATGATATTTACTTGAAATAGCAACTAAAAATCAGCAAAAAAAAAAAAAAACATTTGGTTTCCCGCCTAAAGTGTTTACTATATTGAGTAATATTTTTTCCCAAAATTTGAAAATTCCACTTAATTAGTGTATAAAATCATTTTGGTCAAATGTTACAGCTATTACCTTTATTAGTTGCATTATTTAAATTTAGAATATAATATATTGACAAAACTTGCAACTATTACTTTTATTAGTTGCATGGTATAAATTTGGTATATCTATACTTATATAAAAAGGCATCCTATTTATTAGAAATAGTAGGCAGGAAAGTCAAAGGTAATTAATGCTGGCTGAAAATAGAATAAGGTAATTAATGCTTGCTGAAAATAGAATGACATTAATTACATATCTGTTTTGGTATTTATAGGTTTGACATTAAAGATTTGTTATGGGATAAAAATCAGAACTGATTTTCTTACCTTTATTGGAAAAGTCAAAGGTAAGTATAAATTTATTTATATTATTAAATCATAAAAAGATATTAAATTCATATTGTAAAAAAAAAATCATATAATTTTATAACAATTCCACTATATTATTTAACAGTATTTATTTTTATTATATAATAAAATGATAATTAATATATATAGTGAACAACAATAAGTAAAACTGTTACTTTCTCTTATATCAAGGGATAAATTTATATGCTAAATTAAATTTTTATTAGTATAAATATTTTATTGAGATAATATATTAATTATTTTACAAGCTAGCCCTAACATGCTCATATTTAATGTTCTAACTTAAAAAACAACGCTGGTTAAAAGATATGGAAAAAAAACTTATAATAACCCTATTGTTTTTTAGACTTAAACGGACAAGGCTGTGAAAATAACTCATTTGATATTTTTGTCCCGTGCATCGCACGGGGTACATACTAGTAATATATTGAAAGAAATAAAAATATTTTTATTTAAAATTAAAAATAAAAAAATAATTATTTATAACATACGGGTCAATATTAACTTAAACGTAAACTAAATAGTCAATTATTTATAATTTAATAAATTACTCAATAACTTACGGGTTAATATTAACCTGGACGTAAACGAAATAGTCAATTATTTATATTTTATTAAATTACTCAACTACTTAATTTTTTTATTTGAATAGATTATACAAAATAAATTATTCTAAGTAATGAAACAATATAAATTTTATACTTATACTTATTATTCACATAGGTTGTTAAATATATGATAACATTTTACTAAAATAACTAATTTATGGAATCACATTGTAGTCAAATCGAATTTCTAAATAAAAAATTTGAAATGATACTTATTTAATGTAATTTATTATCAGTTATGTGCACCACACGGGTTGTGCACTAATTTTAAATAGACATTTTGATTTAATTTTGTACAATTTAAACTTTGTATAACATTTTCAATAAATTAGTATAAGTAATTGTATTACATATTGATTCCATATTTTTAATTATAAATATTACTTAATAAGAATTTTTAATTTATAAATATTAATGAATATCTCTTACTCGTGCATTGCACGGGACTCATACTAGTATCAATCAATAATCGTCACATATCACATAATTTTTAATTAGCTATTTATTCCTTCACAAAATTTTAATTATTCTATCACTTCAAATCACATTTGTCATACTTTAATACCATATCAACTTTAATAATTATTACTTTTTAATTAATATTTAACTATAAACTCAAAATCTTATCCACCTCCGGCCACCAACGCTCCACGATCAGGCAAAATCCGCACCGAAAGCCTCCAAACAAAGCTGCCATGTTGGTCGAATCTCTCTCCCACATTGGAACCTCTGCATCGACACCGCAATCCAAAAAACCCTCCACCGCCAGAGCCCGAGCCTCGACGACGAATACGACACCCCCACATCCTACTCCCGGAAGACATATCTGCAGCGTGGCCTGAGCTCCATGAGTCCCACGACTGGGATGGCCTCCTCGGCCCCTCGACTCGTGCCTCTGTCGGGAGATCGTCAAATACAATTAGTGTTGGGTGTCTAAACCCAATCTCATATCGAAAAATTAAAGGTTTTAAGTCAAATATATAAGCTTCGTGGACTAGAAAATTGATTTTAGAATGAAATCCCGTTTGGGCTTGATGGAGAACTGGGCTTGAATTGTTGGTCTTAACAATTATTATCAGAGCCACAATGTAGCCCAATTGCGATGTGGATGGCATGGCATGTTTTCCATGGAGCCGGTGGATCTGTGTACCTTGTGTCGAAAGTCTTCCAAGAGAAAAAGTAGTCGGGCGGCGTGTTCCGTGGGTGATAACGGCGGTACAAGATGGTCGGATCGTATGGATTTCGTTCAAGGGGAGGCCCAAGTATGTGGTCTTGTCCTTGTGGGGAGGTTCGTTGGGTATGCAAACTCAATCCCACATCAGAAAATTAAAGGTTTCAACTCCAATATATAAGCTTGGTAGGTTACTCCTTCTATGGCCAATTGATTTTAGGCTGGAAGTCCATTTGGGTTTGTATGTTGGGCTTGATGGAGAAGTGAGCTTGAGTTGTTGGTCGTAACAGCAAGCTGCATAGGCGACGTGCGTTGCCTTCGACTCTGACCCGCACTCTGAGTACTGCAGCAGCTGCCGCTACTGCCGCCGCCGCTGCCTTTTCTTCTCCCAATTGGGCCTCGACCACTCGGGCTACGACGTCACCAAGTACATCTATGCAACGTCATCGCATGCGGACCTCCTCCCCAGTGGCTAGAACGGCCGCGGCCCGCTGGTGACTCAAACTAGATGGATGACGGCGATGAGGAGTCAAGGTGGATCTGCCGACTTGATGTGACCATCGCGTGGCTCAGCGCGGTGGCACCGTCAGAGTGGTATGACAACATGCAAAGCCGACTAAAGCCAGTCAGTCGGGGGGACGCCGTGGTCGAACACGACTTTCTCAGGATCTACTCGTCCAAGAGTCGCGCATTGAGGTACAAACTAGGGTTGTAAACGGATCGAATCGAAATAAATTGAAACAAATCAAAGTGAATGTTTAACTATTCGATTCGAATTCGTGAAAATATTTGATTATTTGTATTCATATTCAATTTGTTTTTGATTAATTTGTGATTCATATTCGACTCTATTAAGATCAAATATATTCGATTCAATTCATATGTTGTAAATGAATCGAAGTGAATATCAACCATTCTATTTGAAGGTAAAAGTATTTTATTATTTGTATTCATATTCGATTCGTTATCGGATATAATTTGTGATCATATTCAATTAAGATAATCGAATCTGTTCAATTTGATTCAAAATTCAAATTTCATTGTCATAAATTACTTATAAATACAGAAATATATTTATATTCTATATTTATATATTAAATACAGAAATATATTTGTATTTTTACATTTGTTTTGAGTATAATATATATTTTCAAATATAGATATACACAGTAATATATGTTTTATACTTATATTTATATATATTATATAAATAAAATCATATATTCTATACAATATACTCAATTTTTCTAGTTATTATTAATGAATCAAATATGTGCATATTCAGATTGGAACTCGTATAAAATATCAAATACTAAAAACTATTCTTACTCGAATTCAAATTGTTACGAATACTAATCACGAATCGAATAAAAAAAAGTCTAATTTGTTTTGCGGACATCCCTTAGGTACAACCGGTCGAGCACGTTGAAGCAGGCCATGGTCGACTAAATTTTATAACAAGTTTCGATTTACCCTGCGAGTTCCAGATCCGCACCAAGCTACCAAGCGAAGTCCCTCCACCCAGCGATTTCCTCATCCGCACGCGTGACCTTCCGCATGAGCTCGCGAGTCCAGCTATACACCATCCACGCGCGCGAGGTACAATGTTATTTTGAGACAGTTCGGGGCCGTAAGAACTTGGTTTTCCTATGGGTACCCAATGAACCGTTAAACGAGGCCTATGAATGCACTTTTTTCATTTTGTTTCAATAATCGAGAGTGACCAACCGACTTATAGTTGGCCTCGTATATCTCTATCACGCGAACGAGGAACCGATTTGTGGTTACCCATTTCGTTTTGTATGCCGTTGACCGGTTGTCCGAACCAATTTTGATATATATATTTACATTTAACGATCAAAAGAAAAAAAAAAAAAAGTTTCGATTTACCCAATCCAATCCACTAAATGTTGTTTCGCAGAATGGACTTCTCTTTAATGAGGGAATTGACGACGGCTAGTCGTGTAAAGATTTAATAGATTTTGGAAAGGATCCTCGGCCATACCACCTAACTTTATTGCTTGAGAGACTTTTAACAACTCTACATCATGAAAAATATCTTCGACAACATCCTCATGCACATCCTCACATGCCCCATTTTCATCTACGTCAAACATCCGACAAATAAATCTAAATAACAAATTTAACCAATGAACTATATGCATACAAGGAGTTCAACGAGAAATACATATTTCACATAACCAAAATCCTGCACGAGTTTAAGCATGAGCAAATGTTAGCACAAAACAAACCATCATTAAAACACACAAACGNCCAATTCTGAATGAAGCTTCAATCATTAGCCAAGCTGTCCTCCACCCACACCTCAAGAAGTAGCCGACGTTTTGCATCATTTTTCATCAACGTAAACATCTCACAGGACATCGGATCGTGAAGATTCTTTAAAGCTATTTTGAAAACACTATCGGACAAATCGGGCATTGCTTGAAGCAGGCTCAAAGCTTGTTTCATTGTTGCTAAAAGTGTACGTTCATGTTCCTCGAATTTTTTCTTTATTGTGTGAATTAATTCCATCCAAAGATGCATGGCCTCGCCAAAAGTAGATTCTGTGCCGTATAGTTCCTCGACTTTTTTCTTCGTTGTATGAGTCAATTCCATCAAGGAATGCATGGTCGTGTTGAAAATAGATTTTGTCTCTATACGGCGCCAATTGGACCAACCACGCCTTCTTTGCGATTGAGGGCTCGTCATTAGATCATCATCTGGCTCAGAAAATAATTCCGGACTAATCGGTTCTTCAAGTTGGTCTCCCCAAGAACAAAAAAGGCAAGCAGCTGATAAGGTGCAAAGTTGGAGAAAGCTCAACTGCAAAAAAATATAAAGATATGACTTAATGAAAGATGATGTTCTGAAAATCATCAAATCAAAATCTAACATTATAAAACAAGCTATATTATAAGCAGCATCAAATTGGATCAAATGGAGACTCCATTGGCATGACCAATTTCCACACAAATAATGTAGAAAGTATGTTTATCTGGTTAACCACTCCAACCAATTAACCAGCCATAGAAAATAATCAATTTGGAGACAACTAACAATTTTTGTTTCTTTTTCTTCTTTTCTGTACTAATGAGTTAAACTCGATTGGATGTATCAGTATAACAATAGCGACTGCCAACTCTTGTGAAAGCATACCAACAGTTATTCACTGTAATATTAATAAAACACAAATGCACATGATCCAGCAAAACCCCAGCGAAGGAGGAACAGAGGAACACAAAAATGCAAACTCAAAAATATCCCCATCCAAACAAAAACACACTAAAACAGTGCAAATTTTTGTACAGCCCTAAAAGGCATATTCAATCCACACATATGAAAGTTAGGGAATACATAGCTATATAATCAATCCTCAAAGAGGATAAAAACACAAAAATAAAGCACACAATAGAATCAAAACATGCTTAAAATTTTCAGAAGCAAATAAACAAAATAACTAGCATTTGAGACAACAGTTCTTGGTAGCTCTTGAAGACCGGGTGGACGGCAAAAGAGCGTATCAAGCAACAAGGGGTAGGCATGACTTTATCAACTTGAAGCCTACCCCGGCCCGCAAACACATTTTCCATCAAAGTATAGCCAATGCACAGAAAAGGTGAAATGTGATTTATTTAGTGTAAAAAGAAAAAGGTATAACTAACCTGAATCCAACGCCTCCGATAGCTCCGTGTGATCATACCCCGAGAAGCATCCAAACTATACCCAGTTTCTTTTGTAAGCATTGTGTGAAACCTACTCCACAGGGCTTCCAAACAACGCATCCTACTAAGCAGCGGTTTGATATCATAAGCTGGGTCGTGAATTCTCAACCATGGCTTGATGGTGCACTTACCGGTGACAAAGTTACGTTTCATAAATTTGTCGAACAAAAGATTTAAAAATTCACGCTCATTTTCGGGAGGCCATTTAGCGTTTGCTAGCTTCCCATTTGAAGAAACAATCTCATCACTCGCCAACATCTACATTAATGACAGATAATAAAGCATCTGGAGGTAATATGGCATACTAGGTGAAAACATTTTTTTTTTTTCAAAGTACTGAACTGAAGACCAATTTTAGTTGGGAATAGGATATGTGTAGACCCGTGATACCACATTGAACAGAATGCAAATACTACTAGAGAAGAACCGTAATAAAAATATATACACAGACACAATATTAGCATCCAAAATATTAAAACATGGATAGAAAACCTAATTCTCAAAATTTTCGGCAAGAATAAAAAATTTTAGAGGAGAAATTGACCACAGAAGAAGCAGCAAGTTTTCCAAAAGAAGGAAAAGAGATCGGAGTTATGCCGCAATATATTAGACAAACAAATATTGTCAAAATAACTTCAGTTGAGGTAAATGACAGTGCAAATAAAATGGCAGAGAACCTATTACCTTTGTTAGCCGGAGCATCTTTTCCTCCGGGGATGGGGATGTGATGGAGAAACTCCCCGTGCTTTCAATGGTTTCTGGAGGTCTATTCGCCGTTGCCTCAATTCCCAAATCTTGTGGGGTTTCTGCCGGAGAAATATGACTTTGGGGGATGTTCATTTTTGCCTGTGTGAGCCTCAAATTTATTATTAATTATTGGGGGTAGGAAGAACTATAAACAGTGCACAAAGACATGTTACATTTATCGAAGATTTCTATACCACAAATTGTCAAAGAAGGTAGGAAATAAATTTCACAAACCCAGTCAGGTTTTGTGGGACACACTATCGGAAAAACTTGTTTTTTTCTTTCTATCCAAACACGGTTTAACAGTGATGGTATAACCAGATAAATCTTATTTTTCTGGGAAAATCTATATCCAATCACACCTTTACAGTTCTTATACCCAAGTCATTAATCTTACTATACCACCACAATAAATATATCTGAGTTACCAAACTCATTAATTAGAAAATTTTCTATCCACTTTGGGCCATCTTTGATATAGAAATGTGTTTTGGGGCTAACTTGACCCTACCGGTAATGGTTTTGTTCTCATCGGGTTTTCACTGTTCGATTACACACACTCGCACAATTATGTGCTGATCAAAGAGTGAAAAATACAATACGGGGATGTATTATCTAATTTTTAGTTTTATGGTAGTATGAACTTAGACTGTAATTAACACCTAATGTGAACCAAAATGAACCTAAATATAAGAGGATGAAAAGAAACACCACAATATTTAATGCCCTGCACAAGATAAATGTGCAAAATTATTTCTCCCAACGCCCTTGATAGAATTCGAATTTAGCTTCTTAGGTTGTTGGCCAATTTATTTCACATGTATGCGGAAAAAAAATGAATATCCTTTGATGTTTTCCAATATTATTCATAATAAACTAGCTAACTAGGGAAAAATGAATAAAGAACCAGATAGGTAATGAATTAAGAGTCATGCTACACTACCAAATGATTTACACAATGGTTTACAAAAAATACACACGGCAAGCATCCATTATCCATATCATTATATATTGTTAAAATCAACAATTCAAATCTTATCAACATATGATTCGATAAGCCAATTGGTAAGCCATTCGAAGTAGATTAACTCATAAAAAAGAACATGAACTACCGATAACACAAAAAATGGAGCTAAGAATATGATGGAAGTGTAAAGATTTTCAGCAGCCAAAAATCACAACTATCAGATTATACACAACATAAACTGTTCTATCCTTGATTGTAACAGAAGAAAATTATATTACACAGAAAGTTTGCTTACAATAAATTCCACAAAAATATATGGGTGGATGAAAAACCCACAATACAGAAAATAATTGCTAAATATTACTTGGATTCAGTATCTTTAATTCATGCAATAAAATGTTTGCACGAGAGAGAAAACTGACCACAAGTCGGAGCAAATATAAACAATAAAATCACAATTTCTTGGCGCCAGTGGTTCTGTAGCTTTGTGAATCTCTATATGCCTATCTTATAGTGACTACCTAAAATCGCAAAACGGTTTTGATGATTTAGAAACACATCAACTCATTAATGTATGTTTTCTTTTCTTCCTCCTTCAAATTTTTTCTGTTCCTCTCTTTCCTTTTTACTTTCACCTTTTACTTAGTAAATACGCCTGATCATCTAGACAGCATAAATATGCTCTTGCTTAGTAACAAGTGTCTGCTTAGGTAATCATCATCTGACCATTTCAAGATCAGAAGTTCATCCTCCATACTGCAATATTGCTTTATCACTGGTTTAAACCTCATGAGAAACCTTACCCCGGTGAGGCTCTGAAAAGCAGTGAATAAACAAACAATGGACAAATAAATAAAGAAATAGAATATAAAATGAGAAGTTTGTTTTATACTGCACACCACCTCAGATAAGTGACAAAAGAGAAAGCAAAACTAAGATGATCAAACTATTGGTGGATTGGTGATACAAAAGATACAAAATGTAAGTGAGGCCACAACCCATATTCATAATACTCCTAAACTATATGCAAGCACTCATAGAAGGAGTTTTCTTAAATGAATGGCAACAACTCTACCTGCAGGAAAACGAATTTTCAAATTAATGTAACAGAAAAAATCCATCAAACTAGTGCCAAGGCACAGGGGTGACAAAATGATAGCATCAACTTAAGATCAGAGGAGAACATGCTATATGGTGTAACTCAGTAACGGAAAAAACAGTTCCAAGTGAAATGGGGCAACATTAACCACATGATCACATCAAAGACACCTAAGAAAAACTCTTCAGTATGACAGTTTATCATGTGAAAGGAGCAAAACAAAGGCACTTATTCATTCCACGGATCAAGCAAAATATATATCTGATTCAAAGAACCTATATAGATAGGGAAAATCCTTCATTAGTGCCCACACAAGATTTATTACCATTGGATCAACACATACCCAAATTGGGTATGTGTTGAACTTACCAAGCCTATGTGAAATATGAAATCAAGTCCGAAAGCAACAAAAAAATAGCTAAAAATATCCAGAATAAAGACATAGCTAGCTGCACAATGCATCCCAATAGTACGATTGGGATATTACACAGGACAAACAAAGTACCAAATGCAAGGTCACACACTAGGAAAATGGCAAATTCAAAACAACGAGCAAGAGTCATGGGTGAACTAGTTACCGTCTACAAGCTGACACGACCACTGCAGAAGAACAATCAAATATCTCCCCTCTGTAAAAAGATCCACAGCCTAATATACCTGCACAAATGAATGATACATAGCTATGTAAAATTTCCACCAGAAATCGGATGCTATTATGCGATGATATTCAGAAACTTACAGTTGTAACCAGTGAGAAGAAGCTCATCCGGCTGCCTATCACGTGTCCCCAAAGTGGATTCGAGATGTTACGGCGGACGATAATCTCTAACCCTATGAGCGGTAAGGTTCTATATGTGCGGCTAAGGAAACTCCGACCACAAATATGAGTGTACAGAACTAATATGGGACGCGACGCAAAGGCGGGACGATAAAAGACCTCACCATCTCCGCCGGACGGAGCTTTTCCAGTGTCGACACAGACACAGTGATAGAGTAGTAGTACAGCTAAAAGTTTTCTGCCTAGGTGAGAGCTGAGTTGAATAAACGGTTTAGGCACAAACCACGCTTTTCGCCCTGTGGTCTCTAATTTTGTCACTTTAGTTTAGGTACAAGGGTTTTTAAAGGGAATGAAAGGCAATGTAGCTTTTCGTTTGATTCAAAATTTTGGAAGAGAGTGGAGGGAAAATTTTACTCCAAAACATATTTCCCCTTTTTAGGGGATGTTTGAAATTTGATTGGAAAGAAAGGGTAAATTCGATGCTGCAAGTAATGACACTACGTTCACCTCCTAAAACACGTGTTCATTCTTCTTTTTTAATTATTTTATTTTTTCATCAATTAAAATACAGATACATGTAAACCAGGGTTAAGAAAAAATCTTCCCAAAAGTTTCGATCGGCGCCACTTCAAAATATTTTTCATCTCCTCAAATTTCAGTCAGCGCCAGTTCTAAAAATTTTGAATCCAAAAATTTGAAAACTTCACTACCTACTATATAAATCACCTTCAAATATTTTTTATATACATATGTGTTTTTTCAAATCTAAAGAATTTTATATAAAACTCTTCCTTCTTTTCTTCACCTCTAAATCTTCTCAACTTGTAGTAAGCCAATCGCTACATGCTCAGCCGACCGACCTGCGCCATTCTTCTCCAACGCAATAAAAACGGCTTCATTCGTCACCGAGCCGTGACCCCAGAACTTCGCTATCAGCGTTGCCTGGTCCACCCCCAGGAGCTCCATGCAGTGCGCTTGCTGTGTCAAGGTGTCGGGGTCCCCTGTGACTACCGTACCGACGATAGGAACCCCCAATATCGCCCTCACGTCGTGCAACATTATACTCATTTCACCAAAAGGCAGGTGAAACGAGTTGGTATCCGGCTGCCAGCGCTCCACAAATGCTGAAATAAGTAGGGTGTCGATGTGGTCATGCATGCTGGACTCCAAATGTGACAGCCCGGTCGGACGGATCAGATCAAGCGGAGCCTCAGCCATCCGTACGAGCCACTCCCTCAAAACACCGTTCGCTGACATCCTGTTTTGGCACTTCAACGTGCCTCTAACATGTCCTGTCCAAATCCGGGAGGCTACGTGCCCTAGAAAACTAGGGATAACACTCCCGTCAAAGGGGCCACCGGGTACTGGGGCTTTAACAAGCCAGTCGTCACACTTAGTGCGTTTGCTACTCGCCCCTGTATTATAATAGCACAATCAATATATATACGGCATACTGTGATTGATTGTATCAATGATGCGTTATTATTAAATAAAATAATATCTAATGGTAAACAACAATAAATACGTAAATCATTTACCTGAAGATGAGGCAGCGCTCGTATAACGGCCCCAGCCTGTCGTGGAGGATCAACTCGGCCGAGTCGTTTACCTGGACGTGCCTGTGGCTGGGTCAGTGGCTGCTCAGCTGCATCAAAGTCATCATCATAAGCCTACTCGTCATCATCATCTGTCTGCTCGTCATCATCATAGGCCTGCTCGTCATCATCATAGGTCTGCTCGTCGTCGTCGTCATCATCATCATCATCATCATCATCATCATCATGCCTCGAACTCCTGACTGTCGACTCAATGGAGTCCCGCCGACGAACAATACGTATAGTCGGGAGACGTCCAGAACTGCTAGGCCTCACTGACAAGGACTGCTGACCACTCCAACTGCCAGGCATGAATGGGCCAGACCGAGGCATGAGTGGGCCAGATTGAGGCATGAGTGGGTCAGACTGAGGCATGACTGGGCCTGACTGAGGCATGACTGGGGCATACTGCTGACCACTCTGTATCGGAGCAACATGATGTCTCGAACTACCAGCTTGGACAGTCTGTACCCTGCGAGCATGAAGGCGCATCCGTTCCCTCTCCCGCCGAACGGAAGCATTCACATTTCGAGAGGATGTGTGTCGGGGTCCAGAACCCTCGAACTCGACAACATACGTCAGCCTAAATAAAAATTTTTAAACTAATAATTAGTATACATATTAATATTGTTTAATATTAATATATTTGTTTCTTAATAATATATTATTAATATTTTTTCATTAATCATATATATAATAATATATATGAAATTTATTAATTAAATTGATAATATTTATACATTTTTTAATTATCTATTATTTAAATATATATGTTTAATATATATAAATAACGCAAATAAATATATTTATATATATATAT